GGATCTGCGCGGGCCACCTCTGCTATCAACTGAAATGCTCTCCCCTGAGCCCTCGGTGCCCCGACCTTCCCGTGTCGGCCATCAGTAATACGCATGGTCGTTGGGGCCGTAGTCTAAACCACTCTAGATGCAAGCTGAGGAAAATCTGCCTTCACGTGACCCGTCTGGTTGCAGTTGAAACAAACCCGAAATCCCTTGGGGAAATCCCTAACCATATGCCCCTCCTTGCCACACAGGTAGCAAGCTGACTCGGACCGACATGGTCCCTCGTGTCCCTTGCCGCACTTTCCGCAAGTGCGACCCCTCTGCCTCCAACTCTCTGATCAGCGGGCTTAGGCCGCTTAGTCGCCGACTGTGACTGCACTGACCTCCTATCTCTCCTATGGGTCTCCCTCTCCTCCCTAGTCTGGGTCTCCAGCTCGATCTCTCTCCTCCTGGCATTGGTCTGCAACTCAGCCAATGTCATATACGTGGTGTTCGCCACGAACTCCCTCATATCCCTCCTCAGAATGCTCAACTACCGAGTCACACGAGCTTACTCCGTGGATACCGGCTCAGGGCAAAACAAAGCCCTCTCATGAAACACCCTGGTGATCTCAGTCACCGTCTTTGTCTTCTGCTTGAGAGACAGGAAATCCTGGGCCAACCTTTCCCACTCAACTGTGGGTACAAAATCATCCCTGAACATTGCAGTAAACCTCTCCCAAGTCATCGCAGCATGCTTTGCAAGCGTGTAGTCAGCTGTCACAAACTTCCACCAGTCCTTTGCTCCCAAGCGAAGCAGGTTCACTGCGAATCGAACCCTTAAATTCTCCGGACAGGAACAGGTATAGAAACATCCCTCGACATCAGAGATGCATCTCATAGCAGCAATCGGATCCTGGATCCCATCAAACTCAGGTGGCTTCGTGTTGGTGAACTCCCGGTACCACAACGAATCACCCCCCTGCGGTCTTGCCGCAGAAAGAGTTGTGGTGGCAGCAACCTCAGTGACAACGGCATAACGCTCATCAAAAGTCTCAATCAACGTGGTCTTGACACACCCAAACATCTCCGGGATAGCATCTCTGATTGTTGCGGCCACCTTCGGGGCAACAATCATGCGGATCTCCTCATCACTGGCACTCGACCTCTTAGGGTCGCTGGAGCCTGAACCTCGGGTAATCACCATACTGAAACACACAAGAAAATCATCAGAAATCAGGCTATAGCGCACAACCGACACACACTCCCACAACTCCTTAGTTCCTTAAGGTTATTCCCCGAGTCGTGTACGAATCCAGTGCTTCCAGTAGTATGGGCCCAATACTACCTTCCACACCTACCCGTATTTGTATCGAGTCGTCCCCTCAAGACCCCAAGAACTCTACATCCTCAAATCAGCTATGGACTCACCCTACTAGTTCCTTAGAACCACAACCAAGCGTCTAGACACTAACTCTAGACCGCTCTCAACACTGCTCTGCCTCACGAGATCTTTGTTGCCCTCGCTATTTGCTTCGTGTATGCCAATTGTACATAGTATGAGACTCAATAGATATTCGAATAAATTATCCTACCTCAAATCCACAACCAAACAAGGAACAAGAAGAAAGGATAAATCAGGCATTTTAAGACTATAAAATCCTAACTATGTACAACTATGTGGCATACACTAAGCAAATAGTAAAGAAAAATTCAATATCACAAGAATAAACTCCTAGGTTAAGGCATCACAAATCAGACAACAGTTCACACTAACTCTGCAAGATTCCTTAGCATACCTCTAGCTAGCATACAATTCTATCAGTTCATAATATAAACATATATGCTCTACACTACTCAAAATATAAATTGAGGTATTTTGGGAAACTACCGCTCGAGCGCTGGTCGATTGTACACACTACTTCTCTGGGTTTTTCTCCTGTAAAATCTTCATTCTTTGTTAATTTCTTTTAAAAAATTTCAGATCCTTAGTTTGAGTTTGGAATCACCTAGAGGTTCATCCAAATCTCTCAAACCAGGGCTCTGATACCAAATTGTAACACCTCAAATTTTAGACCAAAATTTTCATCTTTAAATTACCAAAATCAGAGTTTCACAACCAAGTTATCAAATACATAATTGTCCCAAAACAACCAGTAACATAATTATCAGAGTTCATAAAAAAGTCCCAGTAGTGTGTACAATCAGACCTTCGCCTTCCCACAGTCATGTGAAGTACCTACCACATATAAATCAACAATTGTACGCACAAAGCTTAGTGATTTCCCCAAGATACCACATACAACACATCATACATAAACAACTATGGGTTATTAGCAACCTTGGGGACTATCGACAGTCCTGATGAGCTAACAGTACGCCTAGTGGGTTATCAACAACCCTGGTTGGCTATCAGCAGCCCCAGTCACATATAAATAGCATAACATAATCATAACATCTAGACCCAGCTGGTCATCATAAATACAGCTATCCTACCATATAGGTAAGAGTAAGCGAGGAGACTCGCCTGATACTGACGACACGAAAACCTAGCACCCGAACTACCGGATCTAGACTCCGCCTAGTCAACAAAATAATTAACCCTAATTAATAATTAAGGTCCAAAAACTCACCCGCGAGTCCAAATCCCACGACTGATCCTTCTAAGGGCAAAATGACCATTTTGCCATTCTCATGGTCCAAAAACCCTAAATCTTGACCAAGGTCAAATTCAACACTCAGCGAGTACGTTGAGCGTACCACAACCTACGTGGGGCGTACAACTCGGATCAGCAAGATGATGGGACTGGGACCAGCTACGCGGGGCATAGACAGGAGTACGCCCAGCGTACTCCGTCTGATCCCATTTCTACCAACTTCTGTCTTAAACCCTTAAGACCATTACTCCTAAACACAGATCTGGCCATTCTAAGACGTCTAAAACCATAAAGTTATCAACTTTAAGCCTTTGCATGGCTAGAAAAGTCGCAAAGCAACATTCATAAACTCTCAACACATTCTAAACTATTTTGCTCATGCATGAACCAAAAGAAGCAATCAAGCTACCATTTTTATGCATCCACAAGTCCCATAATACATGAAAGGACAACCACAAACCCATGGAGTACCCCAAACTCATAACGGTCTAATCTTTGGGGACAAAACTTTTAAAACTTCAAACATGGAGATCTAATCAAAGACTTGTCAAGGTACAAACTTTATACCTAAAAATGATGCACAATGAGGATAGTTTTCTGGATCTACAAGCTTTCTAACACCCACTTCTTCTTATCTAGCTTCCTTCTTCAACTAAATGCACCAAAAACACCCAAATGAACTTGCAAGGCTCACCCTTCAATACTTCAAATGCTTCTCATATATTACATCCGATCCTTTTAGATTTACCACAACTTTAACATTAAGATTTTTAGAATTGTGATGAAATACAACAAGATGTTAGAAGGGTATAAAACATTAAAGGAAAGTAAGTTGTTATTTGTAACTATACTAATTACTAAAAAAATTGTCAAAAAAACATATTATTATAACAAAAGTTCAACAATCTACATTAGAAACTATCAGGTTTACACAACATTGGCAATTACAATTAGAAATAAACTAAATGTGTATTTATAACAACATCAAAATTGCATCGTATAATATGTTTTTTGAGAAATAAACCGAATGTATATAAACCATGAGAAATAAACCGAATGTATATAAACGATATTTCTATAATACAAATATAAGCATATTTATAACATCAAAAATTGAATATAATAGCATCAAAAGTTTATTTTTATAACATAAACTATATCTATATAAACGATATTTGTCAAAATTGCATAATACTTTTTATATAATCCTTAAAAACCAAATGTATAACCTCACAAATGCGAATGTACAACATCAAGAAGCAGCAAAAATCATTTTTATATCAAAAAATCATATTATTACAACATATTAACATATTTATATAACATATTAACACAAAAGTATCAAATATACAACTTCACAATGCACGATTTACGCATTATGCACTTGTACAATCATTGATCCAAGTATGAAATGCTATCAAAACTTCAAGACTACTTATGAAATCCTCTAAATATCAAATATAATACATAGATCTAAGAAAATCGGAGGAGCAACACCTTCATTTATCGTTTTTTTAAACTATTTCCGGATAAATTGTAAATAAACAAAACCTAAACTTGATAAATGATGATTAAAACACAAAATGAGTAAATATCTTACCATATTGTCGGGATTGTACATGAAATCATTCATAGTTCCGATTTTCGCTCCCAAAGAGAGTTCTCCAAATAAAAAGTTTGGAAAATGAAAGCACAAATTGTTTTTTACATTTTTATACCCTAAAAAAAGGGGAAATTGCAGGTGGTCGCAGATGGACTCAGTTGAGTCCATCTGCGAACGTATAACTCACAATGCGCGTCCGTGTTTTACAGACTTGTACATTCGCAGATCAATGGCCAAAATCGCAAATGGGCTTAATCTATCTGTGATTTTGATGGTTATTTTTGTAATGTTGGGGTTTTTGTATTTTTTGCTATTTTGTGCAAAGTAATTATAGAAATTGACGATTTTTTGTAATTTTCTTTTTTTATTTTGGACTACTGATACAATTTTAAATTTTTTTGCATTAAAATGACAAATTTTGACAAACTATAGAAACAAAATTTTAATTTGGTCATTTAAAAAAGAATGTTGAGTTGCTGGGAAATATACGTAGAAAATAATGATTACTTTTTATAAACTTTAAAAGTTTGTTTTATGCAATTATTGGTAATTAAGAGTTAAGACAAGGATAGTGTTGTAAATATGTGAACAATCTAATGGCAAATGTGTACGGCAAGTGGTGGCGAGGACACCGTCTGGTATTTAACAATGTCCTAATTGGCTGGCGATTACTATAGACGGCCCCACACCGTGTCTTACCCCCACTCAAGTAAAACTATTGCTACTACTAATACCCTTATACCGACCCAGATTCTCTTCGTCTCTCTCTCTCTCTCTCTCTCTCTCTCTCTCTAAAGGAGGAGCTTCAGTAAAGGTGAAAGAATCGTTTCAGAGATCTAAGGTTAGTCGATACATGAATTGCTTCGATCGATTTCCGGTAGTGTTATTGTGAATCGAACTTTTGGTTACTTTGAATTTGGTATAAAGTATGTTGAAATATGGAATAGATTTGGCTGATTTTGTATCTGGAACTCCAAATTTTCTGTACACATGTACAGTGTATGAGAATTCGGCATCATATACATGAACATTTCTAGTACTTCTATTGTGAATCACTTTGGTATGATGAAGTATGTGAAAATTTGGATAAATTCTGTTTTGGTATCTGGAACTGAAAATTCGGGATCGAATTTCGAATTATTCACTGATCATTGCGCTATTAACTATTGAGTTTAGAATTGATATAAGGTACTTTTTGCAGCTTGAGTTTTTTGTGATCAGCTTTTTGGTATGGTTGCTTTGGCGTATCATGTAGAATTTTCTAGATATATTAAGATCGATGTGCTCTGATTTTGTACCTGATTTGATTAAAGCACTTTGAATTTGGTTTCGTTTATTTGAAGCAAGCTTTTATCGTTTTGCTTAGTTTGAACTTTGAAGCAGCTTCTGATCATATTGAAAGCCAGTTGTTTTGATAGGCTTGAATTAGTTAAAACCCAATCGATAGATTTAAATCATCATAAATATGGAGCTCGATCTCTTAAAGTAAAACAATTTTAGGTACCATGAGTTTGGTAAGATTTGATCTATTTCCTAGAAACTGTTTTGATTTCTTCTGGTTGGATGATAGTGCTTGTAAAATTACGAAAACTGCCATCAAACATCTTTACTAATAAAATTAATTGATCAAATTCAAAATTATTACAAAATTCTATTGTGATAACAAGAAATAGTATGAACTGAATTTTTCCTGGTATGGTCAACATAAATCATATGGACCAGTATCGACAATACTTTTGTAACAATTCCGCTTATACAATAGGTCAAAAGTTTGCAAAAGCTTAGACAGAAGAGTTTTATTCCTGATTTAATTTCAAATTATAATTCCATAAAGTGAAATGAATATCTTAAAGAAAAAGCATGCCTTTAAGACAATGGAACTGATTTTTTTTTTTTGTTCAAGCCTATTTATATTCTCTAATTATTAAAGTTCTATGAATAAAGATAAGATTGATATTTATCAAGCTTTTGCTTAAAATAAAAGCCACATACTTATACTTATTTAGATATATTTAGACAAAGAAAGCAATTATTGTATACATTTTTAGTACTACAACTATTTAGAAGTTACATAACATATTTTAATATTTTGTAAGATGACGTATGATGATTTTGACTGACAGGACATTGTACCATATTTTTTTCACAAATTAAATGTTGCTGATTTTGCGGTTATAGCATGCTTTATTTCCTAAATTGGTGTTAATCGGAACCGTGTAAATAAAGTTATAGTTACATTGTCCCAACATGAGTTTTTTCAAAATAAAAATTTATGAGTGAATTTTAAAATATTGTTTTTTTATAATGAACTTATTAGAGAGTTTTTTCAATTATTTTGATAGAATCTGTAATTTTCAACCGATTATAAAATAGCTAAATTATATTATATAAAAGTAATAAAATGATATAGAAATAAATTGATGGATTCTATAAATAAACAACGAAAAACTCTTCTATTGTGAAAAAGCTCAACAAATAATATATTTCTTACATTTACCAATTTTCTAAAACATTTTTTTTATGAATTTGATGATAAATTACATTCTCCATTTTTTTTTTCTATAAATTTTGCATTTACTAACTTTTTATAAAGAATTGGAAGATATAATTCCAGCTGGGTTAAGTTTTATCGGTAAAGTCTCTATCTCGGTATTTCGGATGCTGACATATCTTCATTCCTCCCGGACCTCCCGTCTTTTTGTTTGTTGATGCCGATGAGTTTGCCCCTCCAGCTATGCAAATTGCAACTTTCCCAATATTGTCTTTTAATTATTTTCTGGGCCAATAAACGTTCGCACATGTTTTCCTTGTACAGTTTACTATATTTGTCTTTCTTTTTCTAAAATATGAAATATATATGGGGTAAGAAGACAGCGTCTCACCCTTTTCTTTTTGTCCTAAAGCTAAAAGAAGTACAACCTTCGTTCTTTTTGATTTATTCTTACAAAATCTTGCATCCGTTATTATAATTATATATCAGAATTTATATTTATCGCTCCTTTTGATGATTATTATAAAATTTTAATTATTAAATCTTGCTTTATAAAATCTTTTAATCTACATTTTTATATATTCAAATATTGATTAAGTTTATTTAATTAAATCAAACGTTATATTTCATTGTCTATATTTGTTACTATTGTATTGTTAACAACGATATTTCTTGTTTATATATATATATATATATATATATATATATATATATATATATATATATTATATATATATATATATATATATAAGATGTCGCTTTTTTGATGGGTTTTCTGGCATTTAAATTGTGGTTGTGATGTCGTGTTTAAATTCTTCGATGGTTCATTCTTGTGGATAAAGTCATGATAATTAATTGAATTGACTTCCATCCATTTCAAAAAGAAGATATTTCCATTTATGTTTCTGTTAAACAATGTTTGGATTAATTAAATATTTTACATTTGAACGAATGATAATAAAATGAGAAGTGATTTGTACACACCATTTTTTATCCATACACAATAATGATATGTTTTTTATGAATATTGTACGACCCCTCTAAAGCATAAATTGTGGTAGATGGATAAAATAAAGCATAAATTGTGGTAGATGGATAAAATATGTTGTGTACAAATCATTTCCCTAATAAAATAGTGCAAACCTTTAAGTCATCAATATAAATATGTTGTGTACAAATCATTTACTATGCTTAAAAGCTTACACAAAAAAGAAAAATAAGTTTTTCCTCTCGACAATAGAAGTAAAGTGTTCCCATTTTTTTGGACTAAGAATTGGAACTTCCTCGTATTGATATGCCACATACACGTTTTAATATTTGTTGTCTAGAACTTTAAGTTAAACTATCTGCTTACCCATTATTTTTGCTACAAATAAATCGACGTTGTACTTATTGAAATGTTTACTTGCTTGTTATTATCATTATGATTAGGTGTTGGTTCAAACCTTGGTTCATACTGATCATTATTTTGTTTTTCTTATTGAACGTTTTCTAGACTTTTGAGAACTATTTAAAAAAAATATTCAAAATAATGTCATAAATAACCGAAGTCTATATATCCCGCAGAATTAATTTTATAAACGTTCACTTACATAAATTCTGGTGTAATGTAACTGTAGAATTAAATATACAAATAACGGAAGGTATAATTTAGTTCTAGTAACTTTTTTTTATTAGATGGCTCTGATCAAAATCCTGATTCAATTTTTCATTGCCTAATTTTACAATTTCATGTTTTCAGGGTCTGCACAAGAATTCTAATATTATTACAATCAGTCTGCGATGGAAGATGAGACTGTAGCAAGCTCAGAGGTACCAGTCACCAAGGTTGTTGAGGTAAGTTGTACAGTTGTATACTCGGTCCCATTGCCTACCCCTAAATCCTAATACAGATGGCTCATACTGATTTTGATTTATGTGAATATATAGGAAACTAAGGAGGACATAATCCCAGCAGATCATAAGGAGGTCAAGAAGGAAGAAGAAGCACCTTTAGATGGGGAATTTATAAAAGTGGAAAAGGAAACCGTAGAAGTAAACGGTGTTGAATCCCATACAACATCTCGAGCATTGCCTGTTGAAGATGAAAAACCATCCATCATTGAAAAAAGCAGAGAAGTACTTGAGGCACAGGAGAAAGTAAGTGAACTTGAGAGCGAATTAGGAAAATTAACCACAGCCCTCAAACATTCAGAGTCCGAAAATACCGATCTCAAAAACCAAGTCTCAGTCACAAACGAGAAACTTGAGCAACAAGAAAAGAAACATGAAGATCTCGAAGCCAGCCATAAGAAACTACAAGAGGAATTCAAAGAAGCTGAAGAGAGATACCATTCACAGGTTACTACTCTGCAAGAGGAACTTCAAGCTCAAGAGGCTAACCAGAAGGAACTGGTCAAGGTAAAGGAATCATTTGAAACCCTAAACATTGAGCTTGAAAGCTCGAAAAAGAAAATGCAAGATCTAGAACAAGAGCTAGGTCGTTCTGCAGATGATGCACAAAAATTCGAAGAGTTGCATAAACAGAGTGGTTCACATGCTGAATTGGAGACTAAAAAAGCATTGGAGTTTGAACGATTGCTTCAATTGGCTCAAGTGAGCGCGAAAGAAATGGAAGATCAAATGGGTTTAATCCAAGAAGAGCTCAAAGGTTTATACGCAAAGATTGCTGATCATGAAAAGGTGGAAGAAACACTCAAGAACACAACCGTAGAGCTGTCCGCAGTTCAACAAGAGTTGGAAGTTTCAAAATCACAAATTATAGAATTTGAACAAAAGATCTCGTCTCTTGATAATCTGCTATCATCAACCAAGGAATCTCTTCAAGCCAAAGAATCCGAATTTGAAGAACTCAAACTGAAGCTTCAAGAGGAAGAGAAAGCAAAAGTACTGGTCCAAGATGAGGTGGCTTCAATTCAAGAAGAACTCGCGAAACTAACAACCAAAAAGGAAGCTCTTGATGCAGTTGTGGTTGATTTGAAAACTGATTTAGCACAAACTAAAGATCATTGTACTGATCTTGAAGCAAAGTTACAGGTGTCGACCGAAAACATCACCAATACAGACTCCCTTTTGTCTCAAGCTTTGGCAGAACGTAAAGAACTGGAACAGAAGAATCTTGAGCTCGAGGAATTTGTTCGTGTATCCAAAGCTGAAACAGAAGAGGCAAAATCACAGTCAGCTGTCTTGGAACTCAAAGTGAAAGAAACCGAAACAGAACTCCAACAGTTTTCTGCTAAAATATCCGAGCTTACCTCAACACTATTCACTCTGGAAGAAGAAAAGCATCAACTAAACCAGCAAGTAAAAGATTTTACAGACAAGGTAGCTCAGCTAGAATCTGAGTTGACTCAATCGTCTTCACGTACCACAGAGCTTGAATCGGAGCTTAAGAATGTTGTAGAAAAGGCTGCTGATCATGAAGGAAGAGCAAACACGAGCCATCAACGTAGCGTTGAGCTTGAAGATATAATTCAAACGTTGAACATAAGAGCCGAAAATTCAGGTAAAAAGGCGAGTGAATTAGAGTTGTTGCTAGAAGCAGAAAAGTACAGAATCCAGGAGCTTGAAGAGCAGATTAGTACACTCGAGAAGAAATGTAAGGAAACAGAAGAAGGTTCTAATGTCCATTCCAATAAAGTATCTGAACTCGAAGCAGAACTAGACGCCTTCCGAACAAAAGCAACAGCTCTCGAGGCTGCACTCGAATCCGTCACTAAAAACGAACAAGAACTAACCGAATCTCTGAATTTAACAACCACTGAGAAAAAACAACTGGAAGACACCTTGAGGAAGTTATCAGAGCAAGTTGCTGAAGCAGAAAACCTAGTTGAAGTACTGAGAAATGAACTCAAGGTCTCTCAGGAGAAATTGGAAACAGTCGAAACTGATCTTGGATCTAAGCTTAAGTCAGCTGAGGAAAAACTTGAGGAGCAAGAAAGATCATTGGGAGAAACAGTTGCGAATTTCACTAGCAGAGACACAGAGGCGAAATCGTTACTTGAGAAATTAAACACTTTTGAAGAACAATTAAAGACATACGAAGCACAGTTAGTTGAAGCAAACGAAAGATCTGCTTCGCTAAAAGACGAATTAGATCAGCTTCTACTGATAGAAGCCAATACAAAGAGCGAGAACGAAGATCTCAAAAGAAAGATTTTGGAAACGGAAGAGAATGTTACCAAGTCCACCAATGAGAACGACATGTTGGTTGCAACCATTATTGAGCTCAAAGACAAAGTCAACGAGCTTGAAATTTCACTAAGTGGGGTACACAGTGAAAAGGAATCTGCAGCTCAAGCAATTGATTCTCATGTCAAGACTATTGCCAGTTTAACCGAACAGCATTCTAAAGCCACTGAGCTTGCAGATCTGAAACTTACTCAAGAACTTGCTGCTTACAAGGCCAAATTGAATGATCTGCAGACAAGTTTGACTGCAGCTTTGACTGAAAAAGACGAGACATTCAGTCACCTCCATATCTCCAAAAAAGAAATTGAAGATTTAAAAGAAAAGTTCACTTCTGAAGGGCAGAAGCTCCAGTCTCAGGTAATTTACATTTTTTTTTTTAATCTTTGTGTGATTAGAGAACTATATGTTAACTTTTTTTTGTGCGATTTCCAGATATCGTCATTGATGGAAGAGAACAACATACTGAATGAAACACATCAAAACGCTAAAAAGGAGCTTCAGACGTATATCACTACACTCGAAGAGCAAGTGAAAGAACATGCATCTAATGAAACGTCTGTAAAAGCTGAGCTTGAAAGTCTCAAGGCACAGATCGAAGAGAATGCTAAATTATACGACAATTTAAAGAATCTTGAAGAGAAACTAGCAGCATCCCAAAAGACCATTGACCAACAGGTCAGCCTAAAACTGTTTTCCACTCACTTTCTATTATAGTATTTGTCACATTTGGTTCTGAATTCTGAATCTTATTTTTTGGTTTGTTAGGAGTCGGAAAGAGTTGCGGCTTTGAAGGAGGTTGAAGCAAAGAAGGCAGCAATTTCAGATTTGGAGAAACAAATCAAAGACTTGCAGGCAGCCAACGCTAAAGCCAAAGAACAGGTAACAAACACTGTATATGTATACATTTATGACTAATTTATTTTTGGTGTTACGTGTCTGATTTTGCGAAAAAAAATTGTAATGGCAGGTTACTGATAACTCAAGTGAGATAAAATCAAGGGACTTAGGAGCAACAATGACAACACCATCAAAGCGCAAGAGCAAGAAAAATGTGGAATCAAGCACTGTACAGAATAATCAAGCATCAGCCTCATCAAACACAGTACAAAATCAAGCAACTGCTCATGATTCTTTTGGCACAAGTGTTAAGTTCATCGTGGGAGTAGCATTGGTTTCGGTGATTATTGGTATAGTTCTTGGTAAACGATATTAGTTAATTTGTGGTTGGTTTTCAATTATATTTTCAATGGCTTTCTTTCTTTTTTTTTTGGTGGAAAAAAGTTCTTTTTATTTTTGGGTTTCTTTGGGTAGGAAGGGGGTTTGATTGGTTTGGTGTTTTTGTCTAAGAACATGTGATTTGGTTTTGATACCCCCTGACCTGCATCAGCTTAAATTTTTGTGATATTGATGCTTCATTTCCAGTTGTAAAAATGATATGGTTTGTAATTGCTTGTCAAGTCTCTCTATGAAATCTTATTATATGTTTGGGCAAATTGCTTGTAATAGCAACCGACTTTTCAAATTTTATCCATTTTAGGCAACCATTTATTTTCCGAATCAAATTAATGCGTATTTTTCATTCTGGATTTACCTTCAAGTTGGTCCTCCTCCTCCTCCCTCATATGATCACCAATAATCTGCACAGGAGCAACTTCCATCTTGGAAGTGATGGAAACGTTTGGAGTCTCTCACAGTTATCAATCTTTTTTTGGCTTTGGAGATTAATTTCATAAAAGAGTGGCAATCATCACACATCTTCCCTGATTCCATTATGATACAGATTGGTGCCATGTCATGTGTTTTCAATAGCATATAAGCTACTGCAAGCTTCTCGCTATGATAACCATCACATGAATCTTCCTTTATTTCATCCTCAACCTCATCATGTAGTACATTACCAGTATCAGACATGTAAGCATATGCTTTAATACTAGCAAATATTTCTTGAAACAAAGCCAACTAGACTTGTTACCAAAACCATGAAGGCAGTACCCACATATCATTAAATTCCAGGTTCCAATATCACAATAAGTCATACCTAAAAACACGTTTTCAGCAGCTTTAAAGTCGCCAGTCCTCAAATACATGATGATCAAGGCATCCTCGACATTCTGATGACCCTTGAATCCAGTCTTCTCTGCAAGTGTATGCAATACATTTCTTAATCTCACAGAAGCATTGAGTATTACAGAAAAGGTAGATTCTTTTGGAACAACCTCGTCAAGTTGCATATTATAAAACAATGTAATCAACGCCAACGCTTCAGGGAACCCCCGTTTTGAGAAAGCAGCCATAATTAGTGTCCATGAAACCACGTTTCGAGCTTTAAACCTGCCAAATACATTTAAAGCATTTCTAACAACTCCAGCTTTCCCATACATACATATTCATCACTGCATTGCATACAGACACATCAACCTCAACTTCACTCTTGAGCAGCTTGTTGTGAATTTGACGCCCCAAGTTCAAATCTAAGAGGCGACCACAAAGGACAAAAAGACCAATATAAGTAGCTTTGTTCCACACCATATCTTCAGCCAACATTCTCTTTAAGATATTAAATGCCTCATCCAAGTAAGCTTTCTCACCAGGTCCAACCTTGATCCGACAGAAACTAAAACCTCCACAGCCCCTACCATGTCCCACATCATGCAATACAAGTGTAAAAGCGCACTTTTCACATAATGATGGAACACTAATCCAGATTTCAACATGTATCCATGACCCTAATAAAAAATACCCAACCTTTATACACGACATAAGCACCAATGAAGATATATAATTGTTAGGCGAGCACGACTCTGAAACCATTGATTTAAACAATCTAACAACTTCAAAAGCAGACCCATTTTGAAAATGGCCCTAAATTAGAGCACTTCACGAATCTATGTTACATTTATTTGTTTGATCAAAAACACGGTGTGCATATCCCACTGCTGAGTAAAGAGCAGTACTCAAAGCATTAGTCTTGGTTATATTATCTCCAGACCACTGATTACACACAATCGCACGAGCGTGAATTACTTTGCCCAACTCAAGGGTTTTAGTCCCGCCGAAACATCGTAGGAGATTTAAATTGTTTTGTGGAAGAAGCGTAGGGATGGACATTACAATAATTTCACTTCCGTTCACTGATCTTGTGATCAAATTTCACAAAGATTAGATATTTTCCACGGAACTGTGAGAATTTAGATTAATCATTGTTTGCCAACGTAAGCTTGAAAGAATCACAAAAGCCTTATCCTTGAAAGTGCTTATAGATGAAAACAGAATTACCTGAGGGCAATAGCAGGATGATGTTCTTGAAAATTTCCAACGAATTTTGCTGGCAACCAAACATACACAAACAGTCATCGATCGCAACAGAAATAGGTGAAGGAGAGTATCTGAGATTGAAGGTGAAGAGAGTTTTTTAAGAGATTAGGCCTGACCGTTATATAGTTTTCAAAACTTTATCCACTAAACCCTAAACCTACAGCGGGTTTACCTAACTTAGACTTAGGGGTGTTTGGGATTACTTTTTAAAGAGAAAAATTTTCCTAAAAGATTTTTTTCCAAATGATTTTGTTTAAAAGGTGTTTAGGATTTTTTTTTTGCTTTTTCAGTCTCAAATCTTCAAAAAAACAAAAAGTCACGTAAGTGTGACTTTTGAAAATACTACTTTTTGTGATTTGCTAAAAATTGGTTTTAAAAGTCCTTTTCTATTTACCAAACAACTTTTGGACTTTTCTAACTTTTCGGAAAAGTTAAAAGTCAAAAAGTTGATTTAAAAGGAAAAACAAACACCCTCTTATTGTTTCTATGAACTTGACTAAATTACACGAATCCTGTACGGTTTGTTTTAATACGTGCGTTGCAGTTTTATGTTTTGTATTTCACTCGCATCTCTAGTTATTTTATTCATGACAGACTTAAAAAGATCATTCTATCATTTTTTATTCATTTATATAATTATACGATTATATTGGATATTATAGTCTTTATCATATTTGTAAAGACGAACATGCAATTATAAAACTAAGTAGAGAAGAACCGAGTAAAGAAACAAAACATAAGGAAAAAAAATACAAATTGAACCAAACCATGATGATTCCTATAATTCATTCTATTTATCAGTTGGATGTTAGAATTAATTAAAATACAATTAAAGGCAAGTCCTAGTTACTTCTTCCATGACAAACATATTTGTTATTAATTTATATAATTATAAGATTTTATTGGACATTATATAGTTTTTATTTATTTATTTATTTATTTATGGAAAATGACTTATAATGGTAACTATGTTTCAAAATTATTCAAAAAACATCATCAAAGTTTGGTTTGTTCAAAAAACATCACCAACGAATTACATACTTTTTTAAATGTCACCTTATGGTAAACGATATTTACCGGTAAAAATTAATTATGAAAAAAAAACAAGAGAAAATGACTTAGGAGGATAAATATATTTCAAAATCATTCAAAAAACATCATCCAAGTTTAATCTGTTTAGAAAACATCATCCAAATAAAGTCTATGTATAAAAGAAAAACACCAACAAACTATCCTTTAGTTCAAATATCATCCACTGGTAACCGACTCTTGCAGGTTAAAGGATGACTTGACCTAATTATTGTGACATGACATAATAATTAGTGACATGACATTAGTTGATATATTCATCCTTTATAAATCGCTTTAGGGCTTTTTCATGAATGAATGACTTCTTCTTCTCTTGTGATTGCTTTTTCTTCTACTAAATCAATGATCTCCAACTCAAGCTCATACATTTTAAAGACTCATAAAATGTTAAATGACACACACCCTTGTGGTTGTGGGTATCCTTCTCGAATTTGGAGAATCAACTAAGAAGACTAATCTTGAAAAAAACTTCGAGGTTTGTCCTAATCAAATGGTAACTTTAACCGAAATCTTTATCATGTCCTTCTCATGTATATTTGTTTGGTTATGTGATTCATTTGTTGAATATATGTGTGTAAGCTTTTGCTATGGGTATTATAATGATCTTAAGCAATAAACTTGTAACATCCCAAAAATCAAGTTAAAATTTTTGTTTTCCAAAAACGGCCCACAAACCATAAGTTGTTTACAAAACTTAGTTTTTAAAAGTTAAAATCACAAATCAGAGTATCCCAAAATCAAATCTCATTAAAACTGAAGGATATGCATGATCACATTGTTGCTTTGCCCCGATCATCAGAAGTACCTGAAACATAACACATAAACTATAAGCCAAAGCCTAGTGAGTCTCCTTAAAATACCTCACGTAACAGATCATATACAAACATGCATGTCGGGTCCACAATCATCGGACTGGATTACCCTCGGGTCCACAACCATCGGGCTGGATTACCCTCGGCCGACAGTCATGGGACTGTATTGCCTCGACCCAATTAGTCATTGGAATGGAATGCCCAAGCTTGTTGGTTTACGCATATAACAGTGAAGCCTTAACCCAAACCGTGCTATGTTGACATATGCAACAAATAAAACATATAACACTGAACAAATAATCATGCATATCGTAATAGATCATGCATATCGTAATAGATCATGCATATCGTATAATCATGCATATCGTAATAGATCGGTACAGCATAGCAACAACCTAAACCATAATAGCAATCTAATGGGCCGACATTGGTGGCTTCGACCCACAAATACAGTGAAGAACTCACCTCACAGTCTGGAAGATAACAGAAGAGAACATTGCTCTAAGTGTCAACTCTACATGTCACCTATACAACAAACAAGGACCTAAACTCAAACTACAACTCAAAATACCCAAAATGCCCTTAGTCAAACTTGGTCAAAGTAAAGTAGAAAAAATCAAAGATTCCACCTGGATGAGTATGCCTTGCATACTCCTCTTTACGCCCAGTATAGAGGATTCCTTTCCAGACATAGGTTCGGACCCTGTTACGCGCAGTGTACCTCCAGGTATGCCTAATGTACTAGAGCTAAAACTCCATTTCGCTATTAAGCTCTTATTTCATTAAGCCAAAACACCAAACTTCAGATCTAGACCCAAAACATCATTCTAAGTCATAAAGCTTTCTCTTTTATGACTTTCCATGGCTAGAAAAGGTCTAAAAGCTAAAACCCTAACTTATTAATCCATTAAGACATCATAACCCTTGCATGAAAGGAATAGAAGGACCAATATCACATTTTTATGGTTCATAACACCTAAAAAAAGTCTGAAAGGACAACTTTTCTAGTTAGAGTAATCCATACTCATGAACACCAAGCTAAAGGGACCAAAAAATGAATATAAACTCATGGTTAACAAGATCTAAGCAAATAACTCATCAATTTCAAACTTTATACCTCCAAGAGATGCTTGAGGGTGAAACACTTCTGGATCCAAGATGCATTTAACTTCTAAGCAGATTTACTCTCCTTTTCCTTCCTTCAAGAACACCAAAAATGCACTCTTAATCTCAAAAAGGCTCACTAAAATGATTAGGGTTTGCTAAGGATGAATTGGAAGGTGGAGGTTGATGAGGGAATTAGTGTTGAGAAGTTAATGATGCTTA